AAAACGAGTAGAATTTCTCTAATTCAGAAAGTCCAACTTAGTTGAAATAGCTTTTCTACTTTACTACTATTATCATAAATATTCGTCCATTTTATCTGTAGGCCACGAATATTATCCAAGTGATGTAACGATAACAGATTTACACAAGATGACACCATTATGTTGGCCAAATACAGTTTGATTAACTTTAAGTATTCAACATCTAAGTGATCTTATGCTTCTTTTCCAATGTGGTGCTTGGCTAACACTTCGCCATATACCAATACAAAATATCCAACTTTGTGAATATCATCTACGCCAAGGAGATGATGGTACTCGGCTGCAATCGTTACTGTTACGATATATAACTCTCAACAATTTTATTATATTAAATAGCTCATGAACCATGCATTTACTTCAAAAATTGATACTTGTTGATTTGTATGATAATAGTCAGTTATCATAAAGTAAAATTGAATGCAAGATCACTTCATATTCTTCATCAATTGTCTTACATTTTCGACTATAATCATTAAATTTCATTCAATATAATAGAATAGATCATCAAATGAAAATTAGTTACAAAACATTTTTATGCGATATTTGCAAAAACATTTTATCGATAATTCACAGTAGTTCAGTATGTTATTATTCTTTTTCCTCACTCAACATATTTGAATAGTATCGAACGGATTCATTTTTGAATATACTAAATGCACATCAGAAATCTACCACTCCCAGAGTCACACTGCGAAGGGAGGCAAGATTTTCTAGAACGAGACAGTACGAGATTTGACGATTTATCTCGTCTCCTTTATGATGAAATTGCTGAAAAGATATCATAAATAGGTTCAAAAGACAAAAATAGATAATGATACTACAATGAGTAACTGTGATATACATATAAAATCAGCACGAAGAAGAGAATAAATGATAGTTGGGTATATCATTGCGACAAAATAGGTAAATTTCACCAAAGTTCGAGAACTTTTTAAAGCTTTTGATGAGTCCACCAATCATTGTCAGAACATAAACAAACTATGGAGTTTCGATAGAATTCAAATGTTTTCTGTGGCAATCATGTAATCAATTATTTATTCAACTATGATTTATTCATTGATGAAAAAGAAAACTTCATATCTATATGATAGTTCTTCTGGTTGAACTGGTTTTTGTACTGATAGTAGAGGACAGTTCAAAGTTTCATATTCAATAATATGAGCTTCTCAAATACTCTTACAAAGTAGCATCTCCATGTTCAATACACAATCCAAATCCTTTTTCGAGATGCACAAAACAATATGTAACTTGATCTCTTGAATTTCTTCCATTTCGTTTCATCATTGTGAACTTTCTGTCATCCACATCTATTTCATGGTCTTTATAAACATTTATTGGACTTATTTAATAAACTTTCATTTCGTATTGAACGTGAAAGCATTACTTTGTAACGATATTTGAGAAATTCATATTATTGAGTAAAACCTTTGATCTGTTCTCTACCATCATGGAGATATAGTTTTCTTTTTGGTCAATGACTTTTCGACAGCTCTGTACTTTATTTGAACTTGTGAACTAAAAAAAATGAACAATTTTTACATCAGGTTGAAAAATGCATAAAAGACATCTACTTTAATATTAAGTCTTAGACGAGACAGTTGCGAAGTAGTTTTTCGACTGTCTTGCGGATGTTTGCTACGCACATCAAAATGTTTATTTTATTATTAATTTTGTTTTTCTTTTTTTACAGCACTAGATCATCTTAGCAAGTTTCAAGAACTTTGTAGTTCTACACATTTACCCTCTCTGAAAAATCTCCACTTTTCATTTTGTTTTTCTCAAGAGACGGAACACAAATGACGAATGAGTCCATTCAGTTGTAATGGTGAATCACCTTTTGATAATATTGGTTCTTATATAGATGAGACTTTATTTTCTGTCAATAAAGGAGCATTTTTTGTTACAAAAATACAATTGGTCATCTACAAACATTCGATCAATGTGCTATTACAACACAAGCGAACTTTGCATAATCACCATTTTGCAGCATATACATCAATGCCCATCATTGCAACTCGACAACGGTCACCTGAACTGACTTGCAATCAAATGAATAATCCTGATCAAGTTATTCAGAACTTTACAAGTAACTAGGTGCAAGTAGTCATCTCAATAAACTTCACTTGACATATCGCGATGAATTGGTAAGTGTATCAACTTATAAGCTTAAGAAAATATGTCATATTAGAATATTGTTTGAATTATATCGAAAGTGAATTGACGAAATTATTATTCTTTGATATTTTCAGTTAAGAGTTAAACTGTAAACATTTATAAAACATTTACGAATGCTTTTATTTTTCATTTAGAACAAAACTATTTGATAAAGTGTGAATCAATGTGTCAGATGTTTGACTGCTTAGTAAATAGGATTTTAATACTAAGGTTTAACAAAAAAGACGTTCGTTGTACAAATCAGAATGTGTTATTTAAAGGAGAAGTGTTGAAAAAGAATTACATTTGATAAACATTTTGATTGCTATATTATTTCTCAGTTAAATGATTAAACTTATTTAATATAACTGAATAAATGAATTATAAAACTTGTTCAATCAAGCAGAATACCAGTTATTAATATTGGTTTTACGAGGAAACATTCTCAAATGTTACTTACCGTTTTGAATCGGCTCTATACCATTTTGTAGAGCTTAATGAGACTAGACGAAGCCTAAAAGGGTTCGTCCGCATACGCTGTTGTTATTGAGTGATAACCGTTAGATTGAAATTTTCACCTCTGGGAAGGCCTATATGAAAAAATTGACTTTGGGCAGAAATTTTTAGGACATTCTAAAGAGAAGTAAAACTTGCAATAAAACGGTCACACCTTGAGAAGGACAGCATATGAGTACGAACTCCTTCACTCTTTGTCTACTTTCATCGAGCTCTACAAAATGATATAGATCCGATTTACAACGGTACGCAACACTTGGGGATCTTTCTTCGTTAGTGGAAATTATCTATACCATAAAGAAAGTCAGAAAAAATAAACATTTGTTCATTTTTTAAATTTCTTCTTGTGTTATCTAAAAACTTTAAAATGAAATGCCACTATTATATTCAACTTTTAGTAAATTTTGAATAATTTAGATTTCAGAACAAATTGTATATTTCTTTCTGAAATATCTAATTAATTGACTATACTATTTCATTATCTTCATCGTATCCTACTGAAAATTTCATTTTATTACAAGTTTTCAAAGCATATAGATATTGAAAAAGCGTACAGATAGTTTATTTATTGAAGTGATAAAGAATGTCTAAAACAAAACAATAAAAATTCATGTATGACATGTTTATTGTTTTTTCTGCTTCGACAAAGATGTCGATGACATGAAATTACTCTTTTCAATGTGATTTATTGCTTTATCATCTACGATCTATATGACTTTTCACTTAAATTCAGAATCAATCAAAGAAGCAGAGCATGTTTCTGTAGTCAAGCAAATACTTAATGCATCGCCAAATCTTTCACATTTTGAAATTGTATCGAACGATTTTCGTCAATGTTCACAAATCTATTCAAATCTGAAACATGTGCATCTCTTACTAGCTCGATTATATCCCGAACCTAAATAACATTTTGATGTTCATCGATTAACTCAATTAGCACCTCATCCTATGTGGTAGTCTTCAAACAAGTAGTGCTTGTATTATGTTCAATGAAAATTTTGTTGAATTTGTTTTGAAAATTATTCATCAATCTCATCAACTAGTCTATTTAACATTAAATGTAATGGTCGATTATTTGATTGTAACAATATTCAAATTAGATTCCCTCAATTCGACAAAATATGTATTTGGCTTTAATTTTATAATATGGAAAATTATTTCTAACAAATAAAAATATTCTATATCATTATAAATATGGCAAAGGTTACTTATTAAAGATGATATTGATCAAATTCGAAGTAATTTTCTATTATAAAATAAAGGACTGAAGAATCAAAATTGATTCATCAGAAAACAAGAAGAAACTCGTTTGGTACTAATATTTTGTTGCCAGTATATTTTAATATTTAGATACTACATTTAGAAAAATAAATAAAATTATTGAAATATATTTACAAGATTTAAAATGACAAAGAAAAAACAACAATTAAATGTTTAAACAAGAGTTGATTTTTTAATGTAATATACGTTACGATTCATAATTTCCACTTTATGAATGAGATCATGTTGATCCATTAATATTATTTAAGTGAAAAAACTGTACATCACCATATGTTGATGAACGAATTAAATCTAAATTTAACAAAAAAATCTAAAATAATCAATTTATTCTTTAAATTTGTCTAACTCATTGAAACATTTGACATTGATCAAGATAAATTTGTATTGAGATTAAGACAAGATACTACAGCTGCTGATAGTGAATAATGTTAAACAATGATGATGGTCTAAAGATGCATGTCGTGCGTTCATGATTTCGATGCAATTCACTACTAATTCTACTATGTTCTGATCCATATTATGTTCATCTTATGATGATAAACATGTTTCAACCATTACTTCTAACCAATTAACAAATAATTCAACATTATCACGATTCTGACTTGACATCGTCAATGGTTCAACAAAATGCCACAAACTACATGATTATAAATAAAAAAGTTGTTATTGTTCTTGTTGACTCGCATAATCACCAATTGAACAAATAATCATTCGATATATTATCGATAGAACTAAAGCTAAAATTGATTTATCATGTAATAATGCAAATACACAGTTTATGCTCGCATCTTATAAATTATGTTTAACTGGAAATACTTTTGGAATAACAATATTTGATTCAGATAAATATTCATATATAATTCTCATTTCATTTTCATCAGATGTATTACGTACAAATGTTGCTAATACTGTTAAAAGTAAAGCTTCTATCAATGAATTTGTTAATACATCATGATCTAATAAAAGATTTGTTTGACTACTTATCTAAACAGAAAATATAAAAGGAAGTTTTTATATTTTTATTGTTTGTCTTTTTAAAAATAAAAATATGATTTGTGATGTGAATTATGTTTAAGGTGCAGTTTGTAGTGTAGCAGTAATTGTTGGTACAACTTATTTAACTTATTGTAATTGAACTAGTGCTGAAGCTGGTTTTGGTAAGAATATGTGACACAGCATATGCAATATCAAATGAATGTCGATCCCATACATGTGATGGTAGAGATAATAGTCGAATACGAGTAACAGTTTAATATTCCACTAATTTTTCGTCTTTTATCAATGTATGATGTATTCCTAGATTTTGTCGACGGGAAAATAGACCATGTTGGACTTTAAGTAATACTGAGTTACCTGATGGATTTGTTACAACATATGATGATTAAATTCCTTCTAAACTAGCAAAATCAGCAATTGATATTATTCACTATGATTGTAGTAAATGAGATAGTGGATGAACAACTGTTGATATTGATGAAATATTTAATGGTAAAATATTTGTTGAATTTGAATTTGTTGTTGATGAAACAATAACTGGCCAATGTTTAACTTAACATCAAGTACAAACTTCTTCAACAACATAGACTAATGCAATGAAATATGGTATTGATGTTGTTGTTACTTTAAATTTATCATCAGATTCAAATATAGCAACAATATTAGGAAGAATTAAAAGAACACAAGTTGTATGAACAACAGTTGATTGAACTGGATGACAAAATTCTAAAAGTTTTCAAAGGATATTTTTTCTTATCTTGTTCGCACATTTTTAGTTTAATTATGATCATAAGTTAAACAAAAAAAAACTAATAGTCCGCTCTATAATATATAAAGATTTATTTGTAAAAGTAAACAATATAATTATGGATGGTTGTGGATGTTGATATTATGCGGTCTCCACTTCATGCTCACATACACCTCACGCATCACACCGCCATCCCCATCTACATCTAGATTATACCACCAACCGATAAAGATAATGCGCATACTCGAAATTGTATTGTCAAAAGACCAAAATTTTGATGAATTGTTGAAAAAATGTACATATCTTGGCACTGATTTAACGTCAGATATATAATATAAAACACGAAGAGTTGCAATCAATGGCATTTATCACGAAAAATTTCTTGAAACTGAATCAATACTTAGGATGTAGGGAGCGTAGATAAAGTGAAAACTCACACAAACCACCAACAATAATTATATTTTTTTTATCGATTTAAATATTATCATTGTTCATTAGATGGATACTTCTCTGATTCAAAAGTTAAAATTGATACAAATGTTAAATGTCTTATTCAGTATGTATTTTAAAATAAAAAGCCTATTTAAAAAAGAATTTTTTTTGTCTTACTTCAAGTAATATTAATATGGATCCATATTGTTCATCAACAAAAGATTCATGTCAAGTTCGTTATGACTTGTTCAATATTATAGATCTTCATGGTAGTATATAGTTTGGATATAATATATCTTATGGAAAATTTTTATCTTATAGTCATTCAGCTCAAACTGAAATTGGTAAAGAAATATTTCTTCAGACTTAATTGTTTATTTTTTCTGTGGCTTGGAAAATTTTTAATGATGAACCTATATCATCATTATAATATGATATGATGTCTTGTTTGATCTGATACTTCTGATTTTGTTTTAATCATTATCGGCATTAACTCATCAATCTTGTTATTAATGAACAAAATACTTCACCAATATCAATAGACACATGAAGATACAGCAACAATGGGATTATCTTCTACGAAAGACATACAAGATCTTTTACAGTAAAGCATTGCTAGTATTCCATGAGACCGATTTACTTTATTATAACAAATGGTCAATGCGAAATTGTGATTTTCTTTTTTTCTGCTTAGATAACATGTTGTGTGTTTTTCTTCTACATTTTACGAAAACATCCAATGTGTGTGTCCTTCTTCTGTTCTTTTATTATTTTCGCACAAGTAAATTCGAAATGAAATTATTTTACAAGGTGTATATTGTGCTTTGATATTTCAGACTGAAACGTCAGTGAAGTATTAATATCGGTGATGCAACAAGTTTAAAATAAAAACAAAACAATGTATCTATTTTATTTTGATACATGAGATAAGCGAAGTTTCGGAAACAGAGCATTTCGTTATCCAGCAACGATCATTCACAATGCTTTCAAGCAGGAATATTTGGATATCATGTGAAGAAAACGTGATGAAACAATTTCAAATATCGATGATTCATTGTTTTTATCTGTTGCTTTAATGTTGAATAGCACAGATTGAGTACGTATGCCATTAGAGGCCTGCACAAATACAAATATATAATATATGCTGATGCAAATATGACCTCATTAAATTCGGGATTGGAGAAATCCTGTCATGAATGTCGTCTATTCTATTGCGGTCATAATCTTTTTCAATAACATTCACATGCCATAGATTCTAATCAACATATATCTCCGTGCATTTCTGCTGATAAATACAAAATACACATATCCAATCCCTGATATTCGTACCTTGTGCTGTCAGATACTACCATGCACTGCAATGTGTTCTATGTATTTCATAAAATGATTCTCACTACTCTATGCATACGATTGTAGAATTGAGAATTACAGAATTTGTGGTCTATAGTTACACGTACTATATTCGCATGTATAGTATTTATCTTCTATACGAACAGTAAAATTACAAAGTTGACATTTTTACCAACGTTGTTGTTTTTCTCTGTTGCATTGATTTATTCTATTCTCTTCCACAATTTATTTTAATGTTTTATCTCTCTGCTTTTATCTTGAACGTCACAACGAAACGGAGAAAAAAAATTGAAACACGTCTCTTATGTATTTAAGAAGAACGTGTGCAAAAGTTTCTTATGAAATGGTGGCGAAAAAAAGGTATGTATATAGTCAATTTAACCAATCTGCTTTCTCGTTGCGTTCCTCACAGTGCACTTGGTTCAGTTCTCTGCATAAACAAAAAATTTCACAACCGTGATTAAAGTTGCTGATACATGTTCAATAAAAAAAATCGGCATAAACGAAAACAAAAATTCCGACTGTCATTCATTTTAACGACACATACTATTCGAACACAAGCGACATCGTTATCATGAAGTTAGATTTCAATCATCTTTAAGATATCGTTTTGTTAAATACATAATTATTTTAGTTAGTTTACTTGTTTATTTTAGAACAGTAAAAATTTGAGAATAATATTTTGATGTTGATGAATATTATCCAAAAGAAAAGAATCATAATGTTATCCAAGCTATCTGAGAAAATTTCATTGGGTTTCTTATTTATTTTACAATGCTTTACTAAATCAAAAGCAAAGATAATCTATTTTAAAAATGTATCGAAGATTTTAATAGCCCAATTTTTGTTTTCCTATACTAGCTATAGAAAAGACTTCTTCAGGTGAATAGAATTGAAGATCACAGAAGATATCTATTAGTTGAGTTTCATGAATTCATACACTTCTTGAAAGTTAGGAATCTAAACCTTTTTTAAAGAAACGAAAGTATCAGAACAAACAAAAAATCAAACTAAGAAATCCAAAAGTCTAAGAAGCTGCAAATGTTGTCAGAATTTGAACAACTGTAAACAAACTCTCTGCAATTATTACAGTTATATAATTGTTCCAAGCACGTCAGAAGGCTCTATAACCACAGGAAATAAATAAGAAATAGTTTTACTGCACTTTTACTCTGACATTTATGATAATCTTTAGATAAAGTGAATGAAATGTAACTTTTCTGAAATCAGTATTTTCTGAGAAGAGGTTTACTTAAGAGAAGATGACTGATTTATTTGCTTGATGAAACGATCGATTGACGTTAAAATTGTTTTAGTATACATAATTCTTGTGACATAATAAGAAGTTTTTTAAATTAAGGGAACACAAGCCTTGCACAATAATAAACAAGAAGTATTGTATGCGATTTACACATAGTTTTGTGCGAAAACACCTCTATTATTAATTTGGCGTTTACACGGATGATTGCACAGCATTGATTCCACTATTAGATCTTATGATTAATCAAGATAGTATGCTCGTGCTCTGCTAGTATTTTCCGTCGTATAATTTGTCAAGATAGTTCATTGGACTCTAAGAGTTCCATGAGTTCGAAATTCACAACATCCAGCCATTACTAATCAGTCATGTTGTCTAAAGATGACTCTACAAATATGGCAATCGCTTCAAAAAACTCTCCAAAAATTATTCATGCATACGTTGTGTATGTGTTAGGAAGTAGTATCTGGCTAGTATTATGCTTGTAGAGTAGTATAAGACAGATTCTAGTGGAAACAAAAGCTATACATTCTTTGCTCTGGGTTAACAATTATTTTACTTCCAAGTCGATAATCATTGGATTGTATTAACTTATTCATGGTTCTAAGCTGTACGACTATCATATGAAAGTAGTACACTTATTTACTGAAGCTCATTTTTTTGAAGAAAACAAAGAAACGTGTCTCTTTGAGAAACCTATTGAATGCATCTCCTGAAAAAAAAATGAGTAAAACAAAATAAAATATCAACATTTTTCTATAGTCTGTTACAGTTTATTAGTTTTGAGAAAGACATTCAATGGCTTATTTGAATAGAAAAAGACCTGTATTGACATATGGTTCTAGTAGTTTGAGAATGTTTCTAAGTTATCAACAGAAATTAAACTAACTGTTAACAGGGTTTTTTTCCTTTGTATCTATTGAACAATTACATACTATGAGAGAATCTGCTTGACTGATCACCATCAAGAGTTCAGATTGACTAAAGGATCATTCATGAAGGACATGATGCCAAGACCCACTGTTTCGATCTCTATCATATCGAATTTGCTCGATTTTGGCCTATCCTCTCTTCTAGTTCTGGACCTTCGCTTTAAATTGTTCAACTGCAGACAATCCAGAAAATGAAGAAATAATGGCATGTTGTTTGATGAAGATCCTACTGAAATTTCAACTGTCCTATAAAGTTCTTTGTAGAATTCAGCATCTTGGAACGACTGTTTCAGAATTTTAGAAGAAATATTTAAAAGAAACTTTTTTAAAGTAAAAAATGTGAAAGCATTCAAAAAAGTCTTGTTTCTGCTAGAACTATGCTATTCCTGTTCTTTTTAATTCGAAATAACCTACATATTTTCATGGCTTTGTCTCAAATGAAATTCTACCGTCGATGACATAACAATGGATTCTTCATAGAGCACTCAAAAACACGAACTCTTGTCAGTTGCAAGTCTTATCCTCGTGAATACTAGCCCGAGAAACCTTAAAGAGGTATCAGAAGCATAGAGAACAAAATCCTCTATCTATCTTACGGACTATAAGAATAGTGTGTAGAAATAGTGATTAACCTGTGTCTGAGTGTGTAGCTTACTTACCATATCCAAACTATAGTATCCGCGACTATTTCATAGGTATGACAACGAATGCTACATATGGCAGTTTACGATAAGAGAAAAAGAACACGTATGTGTAAGAATTCATATTAACCGAACAAAAATATTATAGGACGAAAAATATGAAACTCACATACAATCGTTTTTCTCGTTATTACATAAGAAAGGATACGATCGTAGTACTGAACCATGTAATAATACGCCAACCTACGACTATTTACAGCCGTTTACGAGAGCACTTGTTCAAGCTGAGATGCCTTTAGGAGTGATAATCATTGTTATTAAATTATTGAACGATTTGGTCGATTTTTCAATGATGTTTAGGTGATAAGGTAATATAGAGATCTGTGTCAGATTCCGAAACCCGGCTTCGATGGAATTGAAGTCAGAGTGATTGTGAAAATGTTTTGTCGAAATCAATATCGAAATTAGATCAGTGGAACAGTCAATTATTTTTATTTTTACATATCCAGTCAGAAAAACAATAAGAAAAAAAACCTTCAGAACTTTAACGAAAGCAAAAACTAATAAAAACCGGACATTTTTAGGCGTCTAAAACGTTTTAACATTTTCGAATGATTATATTTTCGTTCAAGAAGTTTATCACATTTTTACGCTTTTGGTGTTTTAATTGAGTGTATCCCTAGAGAGCATAATCATATTCTATAGATCTGAATTAGTTGAAGTACAATTTGGATGATGTTTTTATAAGAATTCAATCATTTTAACATTTTACAACAAAACATTTATTAGTTCGATTCTTATTTGTAAGAACGTGTACCAAATTTAAAACGCAAAAGAATTTTAATTTTAATGTAGATTCATATAGATCAGAATTAAACGAAGAAGTCATTTTTTACAAGACGGTAGCAAAATTGAATTCTGATAAAAATTCATCTAAGTTGTATTTCAAGTAACCCACACACGTGGAATGTGATTTTTCACTACAGAGATACACTTACGTGAGGAAATCGAACGCTTGGTAACATTTAAACACATACGATAAAAAATATGCTGCATTTAAGATGCTCATTTAACCAGTAAACGTTCTGTCGAAATAATATATATGTGAATAAAGATTAATTCATAGATTTCTGACCATTTTTGAGTTTTTTCGTATTATTCGAATGTATAAAATTAAATAGACCTAGAAAATATGTATTAGTAACATCTGAATTATCATTGAAAATAAACTATACTCAATAGACATCATTATTAAGGAAATGCATTATTAGAAAGTATGTTAAAGTATATTTATCAAATTTATTTTCTACTCGTTTTTTCTGTTAAGATGAGAAAATATTAGTTGCACACTCATTATGAATCAAGTTTATTATTTTATTCCTATTAAACATGAGTAAGAGATAAAATAATGTGAACGAAGAAATTTCTTAACGTTGACAATTTCAAGTTTTTAAATTAAAGTATTAAAAATTTGAAAATAAAATCCTTAGGATCCATATACTACTTTTTATGACGGCATGTCAGTTATAGATAGTCACTGATACGATACAAGGGGTGCTTCATAAGTTTCGCTTCTTTTTCTATTTAATTTTTTGGTAACATTGCTGCATTTAATTGTGAAGAAATATTGAAGATATATTTTTAAAGAATAGTATCTAAACGATCAATAAGTAACAAAAGCATTTCAATTTGTCTCAGCTCTAAGAGAGTAATACATCTATAAACACTCCGATATCAGTTTGTGTATTAGAATGATGTTAAATATACCAAAAATCTTAAAAGTAGTCCTTGATAATCAAGGCAGAACAATTCTTGAGAGCAATTGTGGACTTGTTTGATTGATAGCTTAGATATTATTCTTTAACATTATATATTCAATATCTCTCTACATTTAAATACGGAAAATATAGAAAAAAAAAGGGATAGAAATTTATGAAACACTCTTCATATCAATATATGAGTTTTTTTAGAAGTTTCAAGGCCCTCCCCGCCCTCAAAAACCGATCTTATCTCAGGTACGTTCAAATGGGCTGAAGTTTGGAGCATATGTTGGGGCTGAAGTGAGGAGGCTGTGGTAAAATTTTCAGCTCGATACCATGACGTTTGACAGAGATATGAACCAAACAAGGATCAAAAATAGCTCATTTCAGCGCCAAAATTTCTCTGTGGACTCTCTCTCTCTCTATATATATATTTTGTTTGAAAGTTTGTCTCTAGGGCTAGCCCTCTCGTGGTCCTTTTTTCTAAATTCTTACTTTTTAAGCGAAGAAAAGGAGTGACAAGTTCAATGACTCAAAAAACCCCGAAAAAATGGCGCTTTTTCTATGAAGATGTGTTCTTATATAATAATAAAAAGCTTATTTTAAAAATCTGGCCACGAGAGAGGCTAGCCCTAAACACGAGCTTTCAAACAAAAAAAAATATATGACTTTATATTGAACAGTGGTCGAATGGCGGTGGCGCTACGTCGTCGGACCTACTTTCTGAGAAAAATGAAAAACGATTTTCGGTTTTTTGTAAAAACGGTCTGTTTTTCGAATAAAGGGTGACGAAAATCTTCCAAAACTTTTGGAAAAGAAGAGATGCTGAATAAAAATTTTTATCGTATATGAAAGAGCAGATCACGGGCTATCTCCCTATGCATTTTTTCTCAATTTCGATGATTCTGACGAAAATTGACTTTTTTGAAGGGGGGTGGGGCCTTAAATGCTATTTGCTCTACAAAATGATTTCAATACAAGTCTGCAATCAGATTACCATTACTCAAATGATCATATTTTACTACTAAGTAAACGCATTTCATTCTTAGTTTTTTTACAACACAAAAAAAAAACATGATTACTTTCTCGGATCACAAAGTAGAAATAAAAATGACATTGACCTTAACATAACATATTACCGAAAACGGGATTAACCTTTTTTCTTAATGGTGCCATTCATAAACAAATGAAAATATTTATAGACATTAAATGAAAAATTTAATCATGTTATTCTTCCTTCGATACCATCGACATTACCAGATAATTTTTTTGCATGTAATGCAAAATGTCTTTCTTGTAGGTAAGTATTTTTTTTTTTTCTTCATCAATTTGTCTTTTTTATATCGACAAAATGATTTTTTTTTTCAGCACTAAATGTACAATGACAGCAAATCATGACAAAGATAATATTCCACATAAATGTGATAAACGATGTTCATATAATAAAGAATTAGATAATGAAGTTTGGAAATGTTTACCATGTCATCGTAATGGACGTGATACAATTGTCTATGGAAAATTAGTAACAAAAAATGATGGTCTTGTTCAAGGATTACTTAAATATGTATGGTCTGGTTGTGTTATTGAATGTCCATATCATGGAGAAATCTATCGTTCAAGAAAACATTGGTATGGAAATAATGAACCAAAAGATGTAACATATGTAGAAATAATTCATGTATGGCCTGGTGATGATAATAGTCGATTAGCTAGTGATGTTACACCAAGAAAATTTGTTGAATTAATTGCTTATGCTAGCAGGTTGTTACTTTTTTTTTAGTTTTATTAATGAAAGGTAAATGTGTAAATCAATTTTTTTTTTTAGTTATCTTGCAGCACCAACAAAACTAATAACAGAAATGGTTGCTGATCAAGTAGCACCCTCATATTGGGTACCAAATAAATATGTTATTGTAAGAAGTTATTTATTGAATTAGAAAAAAAAAATTAAAGAACCCTATTGGATAAAATGATTACTCTTCATTTGAAAAAAAAATAATATCAATATGGTTTTTTTAGAGTAACTCGTGGTTCATTGAATTTTATATATGAATTTACATTTTTATAGAGGTTTAACATTCTGAAAAGACTTATACTAGTTACATGATATTATGACAATTATGTGTAATATGACCGGATATTATAACTCAGTATGTCCTCAAACTAATCTATGTAAAAAAAGTTTTTTTAAGTCAATTCAGCAGAGTTTTGTTCGATCTTTAATCGTGTATATCTAATAATTCTTAGAATAGCTTTCTTATTAGATATTTATAGATCTTTCAAAAATGACTAAAACATTTTTCGTTTTAAGATCCTTGAGGGAAAGTACGAGTGCATGCAAAGTTTTTTTTAGATGTTTTCGAAAGATCCATATATGTCAAATGATAGGGCACAATGAACTTATTATTAATAGATGAAGATTTTTTTTTTCACTCGAAAAGTATTTATTCGCAAAAATGATATTCTGTTCTGTTCATAGAATCGAATAATTGAACGATTTAACTATGATGAATTTCAATTCACACAACAATCAAGTGGTATATTGATAATGCGTTTGGTGGCACGTTATTTATGAGAAAGTTGTACGGTTGATCGATTTTATTTCGAGAAGCAGTATCGAAGAACCTCGAAAAATTACTGAACGTAGGAATATTGCTAAAGTTTTGAGTACTCAGATAAATAGACAAAAACTCTATTGAATTAGCTTTAAACAAAATTTTATGTAGATTTAAGTCATAATAGTCGATTATGTTACCCAGAATTGTTATAATAACCCATAACGGATATACAGCTTTTTACAACGTTAAAACTTGATAAAAATGCAACTTTATAGATACAACTGAATGTGCTACAAGTTACAGATGTATTTATTTTTAAATGAAGTGTAGTCATCTTATCCCAGAGGATTCATTCTATGATATATTTGTTTTAGGCTTGTGCAGGGTGTAAACTTCGTTTTGGTTCGGAACATTCTAAACATCATTGTCGAAGTAAATTCATTAAAAATAAAATCTTTGAAATTTTCTTAAATTTTTCTTTTTTAGAATGTGGTCATGTATTTTGTGATATATGTACAAAATATCGTCGTATTGTTCCATGGATTGATACAGAAAATCCAGTACGTGTATGTCTTAATTGTAGTGATAATTCGAAATCACAATCATCATCACTTGAAACACACAAACAATTAAGTCAAAAGATATATACAAATGATAGTAGTGATGATTCAATAAGTACTGTCTCATCCGAGGAACAGCTTACCGATTTATATTTAACACCAATTGATATCTTCGATATTGAACAACCAGCTACAGGTATATTTTCGTATATGTTTAACATTTTTGAAAATTTTTATTTTATGTATATGATAAATATGCAGGTATAGTTGATATTCCAACATCAAGACGTGTTTATGAAAGTGTTAAAAGTGGTCTTGAAAAAATCGGAGTTAATTATCCTATTGGTAATGATATTTTGAAAGAAATAATTTTCATTGTTTTATTTCTTATTTTGTATAGAACTTATTAAAGAAAGTACTCGACCAAATTATTGGAAGCCTGATAATGAATGTTATGCTTGTTATATTTGTAAACGAGTATTTAATAATACAACAAATCGATTACATCATTGGTAAATTTATTTAATATGAATAAAACTTAAATGATTATTTTATCGTTCGTTTTTTTTTTTTTTTTTTTCTTCTTAGTCGAAGTTGTGGCGATGGTGTTTGTGAAAATTGTTCACCAAATCAACGTCCTGTACCAGAAAGAGATTGGTTAACACCTGTGCGTGTATGTAAATTATGTGATGAAATAAAGAATGTATCGAATTCTAATGATTAATAATAGTTATATTTTTTTTTAATGTCTGTATACAAAATAATTTTGAAAGTTTTTTTTTGTTTGTTTTTTATAATCTTTTTTGTCATTGTGTATAATTCTTTTTTTTAATTATGTACTTCCATATTGATAGTTGATAACATACGTAAACAAGTTTTTTTTTTTTAATTTTTATACCTGGTTAACTTATTGTATGATTGTTAATAATTCTCACGAGTAAAAGAACTTACAGACGAGAGTCATGTTATGTGCTTGGTAATAATTGCTTTTTTTCCCTATAATGAAGAAAAATGAAGTATTCATTTTCTCTCGATATTATATTTTAATACACTAAAACTATGAGTATTACATTTTATAAGTAAGAATTCCCTTATGTCCGAAAAGAAAAAAAGAACATTAATCTTATTCTCTTAGTTTTTTATTCTTTCAAAATAATATTCAACTTTGAAATTACTTATTCATTAAATGAAGAAACAATTTTTTTATTTTTGTATTTCGTTTGTTTTTTTTTATAGATGTTTATGTATAATGGTTATTCATCGTATGATAGCGAAATTCAACGGCACATTGTATGTAATTCACCATTATCATCCAATGTGCCATTATTAGTAGCTGAAGAAATTGTTTTACCTTATTTAAAACATATAAATGATTTAATTATAAGTAATCGACCATTTTCAATTGTGACTGATAAAGATTTTAAATGGACACTTGAAGTATTTGCATTCGGTTTTACATGTGAAGAACCTGTAATACTTCAATTATGTTCAAATATTTATGTTGAATGGTTAAAAGTATTTGAAGGAACATCCAATAATTCAAATTCGATTCCACCTATATTAAGAGAAAAAACAGAATTTTATTGGTCACAAATGTTGTGGCATTTATATCATCTCTTTGTTGTTCATGATGGTATGATAAAAAAATAATAAAAGAAATACAAAAAAAAAAAAACTTAGTTGTTTTTATATAATAGAGAGACCAGCTGATCTATTAACAAAACGTATATATACTCATAAAGTTCTTCGGCAATTACAAGCTGTTATTAGTCAAACAGATTTAAGTCTTGATTTATGGCATATCTTACTTCAAGTATTTTTAGCTATTGGTGATACTGTATTATCTCCACCTTATCGAAGTATGTTGTTATTTCCTATTGTAAAAAATAAATCTAATTGTTTTTTTTCCTTTTTGTGTGTGAATTTTAATAGCAAATGAAGAAGGTACTGCTGTAACGAGCTTTCGTCTTGTACCATCGATTTATCAAGTATTTTTGGTTGCTACTTGTAAAGTACACATTCCACCTGGTTTATGGAGAACATTTCGTGATTATGCGATAACATGGCGTCATCGACCGGCTGTTATATATGGTTCGTTCAAAGTTTTTCTTTTTCATATCAACATATACATGAATAAAAATAGTCCGAATAGAAACATGTTGTTTTAACATATTAAGTTAAGTAAATAAGTTTAATTTGAGATGATAATGTGTATATATGTTTGATATATTGTAAGCAAATGATAATGATGTTTATAGACAGAGTTCATTATGCTCTATTGATTGTATATTTTATTTTTGAATCAAATTAGTTATTAATGAGAGAAAAAAAAAAGGTAATTACTATAATAAAAAACTGGAAAAATTGTAGAAAAATCGTTAGAGTTCGCTTCAATAGGATTAAGAAAAATCTAAAATAATTCGAATTCATAGTATCGTCGTAAGAATAAATAAAATAATAGAGTAGCTGACTGACATTCGTACTATTCCTGAGATTATTCTATTAGTCTGTAAGGCTTTTGAGAAGTATCCCAACAATTAAATTAATTAGTTTAGAATGACGACCATTCTTCTAGTGAGAAACAACGTACTTTCAGCTATTTTAAACTACTTAAAATAACTTAAGACTACTTCAAAGTTTCATAATATAACCACAATCGTACACACTAAATATGATGATTATAGGTCGTTTTATTTCTTTTAATCAATAATATGACATAAAAACCTAGGTGTTCAATAGTCCGAGTGCAACTAGAACGCATCTTTTAAAAAAACTTCACTTTATATAAAAGAAAAAGCAGTACGAATCATAGTACTATGAAAATATTTAAATGATTCTATAGAAACCATCATAGTTTTTCGACTAGAAGTAGGCTGTTTTCTTCTTGTTACTCTCACATAAGAAATCTACATATTGTATGATAGTATTTTGTTACGTTGTTCAAAATTCTTGTAAGAGTCTGTACAGCGAGTAAATGTGGGTTTAACCAATGCCGTACTTAGGGATGTGCAGTTTCAGTATACTGACCACCGATAAAATCACACTGGCGTTCACCGGTACGCTGCTGACACTGACTGCACGTGTTACACTGACGCATACTGAAACACTGACGTACTGATACTGATTTCCATTGACTAGAATTTATACACAGAAGACGACGACATATTCCGCTTGTAATATGTGGATTAACAAAAAATTTTCATCGAATGGAAGCATATCTGCTCAATAGTTTGGTTTCTTGGTGGAGATAAGCTACATACACTTTCACGTGCTAACACTTTTTTCACCATTGAATAAAGAAGAGTAAATAAAGCGAAAAATTTATGTAACCGTAATGATACGAATACTTTTACAAAGTTCACAACAAATTTTAAGAAACGGTCATCTTCTTTAAATCAGTGGCGGATCTAGAATTTTAGAAGGGAAGGGCGATTTTCGAAAGATGCGGCGGTTATAGGCAAAAATCACTTTTTGAGACTTATGCGAGGTAGTAAAGACCAGTTGTTCGTACGTTTTTG